CAAAGAACTTGAAAACACCAATTTGCAAAGGTACATGCACCCCTGTGTTCATTGCAGCCTTATTCACGATAGCCAAGACTTGGAAGCAACCTATATTGTTTTTCTGATGGGTGGGAATGGGCTGTGGTTTTTACTGCTCTTTGTTATGCATCACTGAGAGCCTGCTAAAGAGGGGATCGTAATCAATGCATGGAGATTGAGTTGCGTCTACGTGACACGTGTAAGGGTTGAATCCATTGCCTTGGCCTTAGCTAACGACGTCATCCTTTACCTTTGAGTAAAGGATCGAAGGGGAGGAGGCCTTTCTCTCTCCCTCTCTCAGGAGGGAGAGAGAGAGGCCCTTCTCTCTTTCCTTCTTGCTTTGGGTCTTCGCACCTGTTCTCTCCTGTGCCTAGAACTCCTTCCCTCTCCTCTGCCTCCTCAGCTGTCAGCTTATCTGTCACTTCCCCAGGCCATCAAGGTCAAACCCTATCTTTGCTCACAAGGCCTTGTGTGTCCTTAGTGTTGATCACGTTTGCAACTGTGCCTTCCCCCTCTTGTTGTTTTTTTCTAAGTGAGATATAATTCACATTCCATAAAATTCATCCCTTCAAAGTGTACAGTTCAGTAATTTTTAGTATAGTCACAAAGTTGTGCAACCATTGTCACTGTCTAATTCCAGAGCATTTTCATCACCCCATAAAGAAAGCCTGTACCCATTAACATCAGCCTCCATTCTCCCCTGTCCCCAGGCCAGGGCAATCACTAATCTACTTTCCGTTTCTATAGACTTGCCTATTCTGGGCATTTCATATACATGGAATCGTATACAGTCATGTGTTGTTTAATGATGGGGATACATTCTGAGGAATTCGTCATTGTGTGAACATCATAGAGTGTACTTACACAAACCTAGATACTATACACCTAGGCTCTATGGTACTAATCTTATGGGACCACCATCCTATATAGTGTCCGTCATTGACCGAAATGTCATTATGTGGCACGTGACTGTAATATGTACCTTCTGTGTTGGCCTCTTTCACTTAGTGTAATGTGTTCAAGGCTCATCCGTGTTACAGCTTGTGTCAGGGCTCCATTCCTTTTTATGGCTGAGCAGTATTCCATTGTATGGATAGACCACATTTTGTTTATCCATTCGTCAATTGATGGGTATCTGGGTGCAACTGTGCTTTCGAATATTTGTTTCTTTGAATAGAGAACTTTTACCCCCTGAATGGAACATTAAGCTCATGGTGTAAGTTCACTCACCTGTGTACCCCGGTGCTAGCACATATTGCCTCTGCCTCATGAGTTCTCCATAAATATTCATTGAATAACGGAATGATCCAGTGAAGAATGTTAAAATGCTGCCTACATAGCAGTCTGTAGATACCCTTAAGGAAGGAGTCTTGGCTGTTATCTCGACAAGTAGTGCCTTAACTCTGTGTGCCCTTTCTCCTAGCATTTGAGTCAGTATTGGTTGTGTGTTTCTATCTGGAAAGGTGAGCCTTTATTTCTGACCTCTCTGTTGAGGGGTACTTTGTAGGAGAATGGTTGTTAATGGGTCAGGCTTTATTTTTAACTCCCTTTCTAGTTCTGCATAAGCAAATAGTGGGGTCAAGAAGATCCTGTAATGCTCATGTCACAGCATCCTCGACCCAGCCTAAATTGTGTCATAAGTGACACTTTCATTTTATATTTATCTTTTTATCCTCTTTACAAATTTTTAAGTGTACCATACATTATTGTTGATTCTGAGCACGATGCTGTCCATCAGATCTCTAGAACTTTTTCATCTGGTGTGACTGAAACTTGATACCCATTGAACAGAATCTCCCCATTTCCCCTCCACCCGGCCCCTGACAACTCCCATTCCGCTCTCTGCTTCTAGGAGTTTGACTGCTTTAAATCCCTCAGATGAGTGGAATCCTGCAGTATTTGTCCTTCTGTGCGTGGCTTATTTCACTTAGCATAGTGTCCTCAAGGTTCATCCATGTGGTAGCCTATGACAGGACTTCCTTCTTTTTTAAGGCTGAGTAGTATTCCATCTGGCTTTGAATTAAAACAGCCACTGAGGCGAGGGGATGTGATATAACATACGATTATTTAATTTCCCTATGATTTCTGATCTGTCATAAAATAAACCAGTCTTGATGGGCGAATTGTCCTGATGGCATTTTGGGAAAATATCAGTTCTAGTTGGAGAATTAGAGATCTTCCTGCTCGCCCAGCACTGCATATAGAAGCTATGCAGGTACCCACACGCACTCAGGAGGGTGCAGACAGATGTGCATTGATCCCAGGGGGCACGTACACACTTGGGGGCACCAAGGGAGGGGAAGACGGGGAGCAGAGGCAGCCCCGACTCCTAGCTGCTGCCTTGCCTTTTCAGTGTCCTTCTTTTTTGCATTCATGACTCACTCTTAAAGTCTGACATTTCAGTAGCTAAGTGCCCTTGGAAAGGATGTGAGATGGTTTCACTTTATAATAGATTCTCTAGTGGATAGTTTTAGCGAGAAGTTCCAGGGTGCCGAATTTTAACACTCTTAAGAGCTAATGGGTTCATTTGGTACAAATCCATGCTGTTGCTTGAGAAAGAGGGCATAGTTTATTAATCAATTCTTCTTTCTCACTTGGATGAAAAATGCGGCAACCGTCACAGTCTCAGAAACACCATCAAATTTGTATCCTACTGACTTGGCGCTATTAGGCGAGACACAGACACACTTAAAGTGACAAATTCAGAATGAAAAATGGGAAAACCCTGTAAAGAGGGAAACCATTAACGTGACTGAAAGATTTGAAGTCGTTCAAACAATAACACGTTATGCTAATTTGAGAATTTCTTTATTGCTCGTTTTAAAGAACTTGAAAAAAATTTAGTAGGTAATCAATATGACTTGGAAATCTTTAGTACAGAGAACAAAGTCAGGAAATAGCAGGTTCATGGGGCAAAGGGTTTTATTGATTGCTGTAGTACACGATGATTATTACTTTGTAGCCAGAGGCGGCCGTTGTTCCACAGGGAATCGTAGAATCTATTTTTGAACAAGGATTCTTGTTTGTGTGGTTTTTCTGTCTTGGAGAGCTAATATCATTGTACATTCCACAACTGTACCTGGTCGATCTTTGTCGTGGTTAAACTTGAAAGGCATCGCAGAGGATGAACACGAGTGAGAGCAATCCATGGCATGTCATGCTTTTGTTTGGGACGTTCCATGGGGATAGAGAGATTTTCTTACTGATCCCA